CCATTGTCATTTCATTAGCAATAAAATATGTTCAGTGTTTTCTATAACATGATTTACAGGAATTGACTTGGTTCATGATCAAGCAGAACAAGCGTTATTGAAAGAAGTTGACACATTTCGAAATTGCCAAGAACGTCTCCGGAGTTTGCATGAAAGAGCCCTGGCCCAGGTAAAATTCGTAAAATCTATATATATTAGTATTTACCAAAACTATTATCAGTGAACGATTTAACAGATTTACCATTTAGCATTACCTGGGATCTTTGGGTAATGGTCCCGAGTTTCCTTCTCACCAAAAGATATTTGTAGTCTATTTGAATGAAATGTTTAGAGACTTTCGTACTTTGAGGGTCTTCCTTTCATTTTCATTTGTTTAAATTAAAATGAAAAAATCATTCGAAATTGTAAAAATTTTGCCGTGGTCCGCGCATCTCAAAGTAGTTCAAGCAGTCGTACAAAGTTTCGAGTTCATTCTTAACTGCCTACAAGAAGAGATTGTTTGGAAAATATGTACTGGCATGCCACATTGCCACTTTGTTTCAATTGAATCTTTCCGCACTCACCATCCCTGATGTCGCTCAAGTTTAACCGAAACAAAAATATATCTTTTAATCGTTGAAGATTGTTTTCAAATCGAGTTGAAGAGAGTTACTGGAGACAACAGGGCAAATTCCTTCGTCGAAATATCGATTCTTCCTTTGTCGAAAAATTAAAATCCAAACAAAAAGATGTTTGAGATGAATAGATCCAAATTTGCTTATTAGTGGACAGGAGGGCGCAAATTCTAGTAAATCGCTGAGAGAGCAACCGAATCGTTGGTGGAGTAGCTGATTTCAATTCTACAAAGACAGCAGATACGTGGTGAAGACTACGAATTTCTCGACATAAAGTGCTGCCAATTAGAGGAAATAATGGAGTTGTAGTTTTGAGTCTAAAATGTTCAACAACGTGAAAACTGCAATTGAAGGAAAAGTTTGTGATATGATGCGAATGTAGTACCCTACATTTTTCATGAATAACCAAGAATTTTTTCCGATTGATTTTTCAAATTTGTACTCTCCTGGAAAGCAAACTCTATCCGAAATGTCAGAATAATTCCAAATCCATTATTTGTTATTATTCTGACATTAAGAAATCTCTAATGGAGAGATTTCCGGTTCGGTGGAGTCTGTTAGTTTATTGTTACCAAGTCCAGCTACCTCATCAAGCCCCGAACAAGGAATATGACAATAATTTAAAACTAGTGCTTCAGAACGGCGCAGATATTCTCGTACTAGTTAGTTTCTTAATCTGTTTAGTCTGGGCTAGTTTTTCGGTTTTGACTCACCCTCTTCCCGACTGCCATCTATTGGCGTCTAAAACATTTTTATTTTCTCGCGTATTGCTTACGCAGTAAAGGGAAAGCATTGAAATACTGCGGGAAACAGCGAACTTTCGGCAGAATATTTTACTCTTTTTTCTAAACAATTATTTTCTTAAAACATTTCTAAACTATTTCTTGAAAGTTTCTCTTTATAAGTATCAAAATACTACACTTCTGACCTACAATGAGTGTAAATTCCTATCATTTAGTTACTCAAGCCGCAAGGTTGTAATATATTTAAGGTGTACATCATGTTATATCATTTGAACATGTAATCTGGATTGTTTACTGATATGTAACCAGTTTTGTCCTTTGTAGTTATGTGGTATATTCTTATGTTTTGTCTTCTGTGTACGCACTTGCACAAACTACATGACGGGGGTTCAGTGTCGCTCCTTACCGATTGCGCTGGGCCTCCGAATGATTGTCACATGATTCGCCCCAATTTGGAAAAAAATATCGAATTATTTTCGGTTTTAACTAGCGTTTATAATTACCCCTGATTTTCATTTATTTCAATTGATCCTAGAGAATAATAGGTTTAAAACTGTTAACATGTTGATAAGGTGTCAAAACATAAAATAAATAGTTTAATACGATTTCCTTAGTCCATCAAAAACAGCACAACCACCTGCTAAGTAAGGGAGTGAATCGACTGTAATGCAGGGGTTGTCCTTGTAAACAAAAGAACGGTTAACTTTCAGTAATATAAGAGAGCGGCCACTGGTCGAAGGTGGGTAAGACAGTTCATTGAACTATCTACTAGAAACATCCTAGGTTGCAAGCAGGGGCGGATCCAGCCGATTATTTTGGGGAGAGGCCATCGTACATTTTTCTTAAATAATAAACATATTTGTTATTATATTGCATATTATTTATGTACAGTATATATACATTTATACATGATACCATACAATATTATTGATTAAATGATTACATAAATCGAATATAAATAAATATTTAAATCAAGTTTGACAAATAATAGAAGGTTAACGAAAACTAGGCTTTGGAGGGGGGGATGGCCCCTCCCCCTGGATCCGCCAATGGTTGCAAGGAACACGTGCTCTAACGTAATATTTTTCTCTGCTCAAATATGATCAGAAATTTATCAGCAGTTGAGCACAACTTTGTAGCAGTGGCTTGCACGATAAATTAAGAATATCGATATAGTAAGATTAAAAAGTATAATTTACAATAAATAAATATTGACTAATAAAATAACATTTCAGAATGTTCTTAAGATTTACAACGATAATATTACAAAAGGGGGAAATTTTATGATATATATATATATATATATATATATTATATATAGTATATATATATATATATATTTTAAAACTCTAGTTTTTCATTGTTTAGAATATTATCATTGGCAAATTCTTGTAAATGTACTTCTTTTAAAGCTGAGGAACAACCGTGCTGCACAACATGATTTGGAAAGAGATGTTAAATCAAAAGAATCAGCTTTAGGCATTGACAGTGTATGTCATCAGTTAAATAATTTTTCAAGAGGCATAAATTATTTCGGAGGCATTGAAAAATACGACCCTACGTAAGATTCAATATATTATTACAGCAGTTTTAATACTTTTTAAGCTAATATTCAGAGATTAGCCCTAACTTCAATGCTTGTAATAGGGTGACAACACCTGAAAGTTGGGCGGAAAACAGCAACAGAATTATTCAGCGATCGCAGAATGAAAGGTCAAAGTCTCAGCAGTTGCGTTCTGATGCCGATAACCTTATATGCGCTTGTGCCAATGAGATGTGGAATGCATGGAATTCAAGCAACAATGCTCTCTCAAGCCGTTCGTCAGAAACACTAGAAGCCAAATGCAAATTACAAATGCACCTTCACAGGGTAATCATTTACTGCATTTTTTGTAATACTGTAAATCACGTAAATGAAAGCATAGATGCAAGATGAAATGTTATTCTTTTCTTTTAGGTACAGCAAGAAATCTTTGACGTAGAGAAAAACATAGAGCTGCTGCGTAAAGCCATTCAAGACAAAAGTAATCCTTTGAAAGTTGCCCAAACACGTCTAGAAACACGAGCTCACAGAAGAGACGTTGAATTATGTCGTGACGGACCTCAAGCAAGGTGTGTATTTACTTTTCCTTCCAAATAAGTAGCTGAATATTTAAAATAGTACAGTACGATCCTTATTAACATGATCGGTGTGCATCTTTACAAATTTAGGTTAATGATGGAAGTCCAAGATCTTAGTAATTCTATTGAAGTCTTACATCGTAAACTGCAAGAAGCAGAGGCACATCATCAACATCTTCTCAAAACCCAGTCCAATCTGGAAACCAATCTACAAGTTAAAGCCAATTCATTGTTCATTGATCGTGAAAAATGTCTTGGAATACGACATGGATTCCCAATGAATGTCCAATCTAGATTTTAAGACAAGGAATGGTGTAGTTCGATTTTCGAATTTCTCTGCATTCATTATCTGCACACATCTTACGTTTTTTCCCATTTGTGAACGAATCAACTGAAAATTAATTATATTTGAATATTATAACGTTTAAAATTACCATTACAAGTAAATTTTAAATTAATAAACATCCTCTTTGGCGTTATTGTTTATTCCAGGTGGATGACTTTACATAGAAAAACATCTCAGAAGACAGATACCCCAAAAACTTACGCTAGAATGTGTCCCTTTGCTCTTTGTTTGGTGAGTATCAACTCGCTGACATTTATTTGGCTTTGGTAGGGGAAAGCTCCAGTAATTAAAATGTGCAGAGAGTACATATGGTTTAGTTTGAAATGTGCAAATAATGAATGTGTAGGGATTTGAAATTCGTTCTTGTATAACCTCAGCAATCCAGTCGCTTTCATTAGTTGTCCTGTTCCCTGCAAATGCAACGAGGAAGGTGAAACGCCCGTGGCACAAGGTGCTGATCGGACAGTGACCAGGGTTTCGCAGTGTTCATAGTGGAAAGAGATTGGAACTTGACTACTACCATGTCTTTCCACCATGGCAGTGGTCAATGTGACTGCGGAACCAATCGATTAGAGCAATCGACCTACTAATTCAATCCCAGAAGGCTCCACAAACCGAAACCTTCGTTACAATAAACTTTACGAAGGTTACGCACAAACTCGCTGATGTTCAATACATGGTGGAATGAAAAGAGTGTGCTATTGCGCATCGTATCCAACTTCAACCAATAAACTTCAGGCACCAATTTGCGATACAATAATAGTGGAAATATTAAATGCAGCTAAATATCATAATTATATTGTTATAAGTCATTGAAACAGATATACGAAGCATTTCTTTTAAAAATTGCATTTTTTGTATCTATCGTGTTATTTTTGGATGGTCGCTGTTGAAAATTGTCACTTGAATGCCACTTTCAAAATGTTTCTCAACACTTCTCGCTTGCCGTGCAACATGGCTGCTAGCGTCTACTCTGGTTTTTCAAACGAAGTGCCCAAGTTGTGGTCACGTGGTTCGTGACGCAAACCGGTGCTGCGCAGAACGAGCAAAAATTGGTGCGCCGGACTCGCTCACTCATTCTTTTCCACTATGGTTCAACACATCGAATGAGTTTCTAGTACCGACTGGGATCAAACCCCCGAAATGGCAGACACTTGATCCGGAAGCATGAATTTAATTCGCCAGTGTTGACGTGATCAGGCGAAATCAACTTGTGTAAAACAACGCGCTCAAAAAGCGTCGGAATTTAATTTCAAAACCAATTTTTTGAACCGTAGTACCGTTTCAAACTTAGGAAGTAACAATTATTTAATAGAAAACCATGACCGGGTTTAAATATTGTGGAGCCCCCAAGCACACAATTGTGCCCCCCCTTGTAAAATAACTCCATCTTTACTAAATAAAACACTTAATACAAGGACTTTCTGTACAAGTATAAAAAACTAATATTTCTTATATAAAATTTTACATACGTTATGTTTACTTCATTAAAACAAATGTATTTCCGAAGGGCTGGGCCCCTCATGGATAGGGGCCCCCAAGCAACTGCTTGTTTTGCTTCTAGGTAAATCCGGCCTGGTTGAAAACGGACGACTCAGCTTGAATTAGATACAATTCAATACAAATGTTTCATTTGCAAATGTCAAACCTGTTTGATTTAAACAGCATTCGAATTAAAAGAAAAAGTGTTGCAAAGTTATTTAATCGAAATCCGGTATTGCAATCCCAAAGCACTACAGTACCTCTGAACTAATACAAAAATGACAGGGGGAGTGCAGTCTGTGCCACGTGATCGATATAAATAAACGACTAAAAATAAATAGTTGTTCTCGATCATTGCGTCTCCCTAGTTCAATATTCGATCAATGACCAGTTATGTAACTGTTAGGTAACTGTAAAAGAAAATCTACTCCACATTGCATCCAACTCTCTAAGGAGCAGATCCAATGACAGTGGCTGCATTTACAATATTCTGGGCCAAATACGAGCTGTGACGCAATGTGTTATACTTCGTAGTCCTTTAAATTAGCTGCGAATTTGAAAACGTTTTTACTTTTATTTTGCAGAAGAAATTTTAGATCTTCAATAAAGTAACTATCGGGGAGCCTTGTGTTTTTATACTCCATATTCGGCTAATCTCGATTTCTAGTCTCACGTATTTAAGACGTTTACTTGCCTTCTTGGTTAAGAAGTTCTGATCGCTCAACAACATCCTGTTTGATACAGATTTGTAATACAATTTTGTACACAGTCCAGCACATCACAGGTTTTGATGAGGGTCTTACCACTTGGAGCGTATATTCGGAACACAAGTGCGTTACGATAAGCCAGTAGAGGTGACTACACGCCCTATCGTGTATTTTCACTTATGGACTTTGCTCAAATTGTACTGACACAATATGACCAATGGCTTCAACTTGTTCTCGACAAACACGGAGGAATAATTTTGTGAACCGCTTTATTGTGTTCTCAATGTCTTATCGGAGGCAGCTATTCGAAGAAGTCCGATTCTAGCTTCTTTGTCACCCTTTCAAGCCACATCAATGGTCTTTGTTGATGTGTATCTTGTCTGTGAAGTGGTTTATCTCACCACGATTTCTGTAACAATTTTGTCTCTCCCAAAACATGTCAAGCAACCTCAAAAATTCATTGTGGTATACTGCGTGTCTTGCGGTTTTCTTCGCAATCCCTCTTGCAGCATTTTCAACTAGTGAGTTTGCATTCCTGCGGTAAGATTGGGGATTTTATACCTTTAAGTCCAGGTATAAAAGGCCTCGTGTACCCTAGGGCAAGGGTCCGACGACCAACACATTTCGATTTTATAGACGTTTTTGGTAAATTAGTAAATTGAAATAACTACTGTGTGCATTCATTATCAAAAAATAAATCAATTGACTTCTTTATATAACAAATATAGATTTTCGCGTAAAAAGATTTGTATTTAATGACAAATTCTATTACCGTGATGGACCGGTTTCGTTTGTTTGCAGTATGCTGTTCTCGATATCTTATCTATTTTGATTTGCATGGCCTTTGTTGGTCTGCTAGTATCAGCACTGTCAGACTTGTCTCTTTTCTAATGTTTTTAGGAATGTTCCACCAAACGTTTTAGTCCAACAAAAATGTCGCCAAACGTCGTTGGCCGATTTGCTCTATTCTTGAATGGCGACCGAGGCAACTTTCCCTTCACAGAAGCCTTTTCATTCATGACTATGTTAATCTGCTTCAATACGTTTTCACGTGTTGTGCTGATGGCTTAATCTTTCATGAAAAACTTGGTGCCTGTGAAAATTCTATTGAACAGGTTGTATTGGTTTTACAACGCCTTTTTTGAGTGCATGCAGACCACGGCTGATATATCATTCAACATTTCAAGTCACTAGTTTTCGAGTTTCACACTTTTATGATCAAGTTTTGTACATAAACCGTTTTATGCTGCTGATTTTACGGAGAACAAATGTACTTTTGCTTGATTTGATTTATTTTCGTCAAAGAATATTGAAAACGTCAAGGGGAGAAGTACAACCTGTTCGTTCTCTGGAGCTCCACAATCTCGTCCCCACATTTAAACCTTAAATAGTTGAATGACAAATAAAAGAACAAAAAAGTGAGGTTAGCAACATTTGGAAACTAGATGTTTTTGGACCCGACTTATAGAAAACCTATTTGTATGTACAAACGAACTATAGATTTGACTTTCTTAGTATTGCTAACAAAATAGTAACCCATACACCCGGATGTACTCTTACCACAACTACCAAAAGGAGATCTCAACAAGGCATTGTGCATTGTGACACAAGGGGCCATCTCAACATTTGCTCAATAGATCAGGGAGAGAACGAAAACACTCATCGGGGTGGGGGTCATTGATCTGGAAGCTTAAGTACATTACTTGTTACGGACCTATTAATACTTGTAAAATTGTACAGTACAAATATTAATAAGCACTCATGTATTATATGTGAATTTCACGTTGTTGGATGTGATTTCTACGACATGTTGAAATTTTAACTACCAGTATTGCATGAAAATACGAGTATCCCCAATGTTAAGTAGTAATATTGACATAACCTAAAGGTGAGTAAATTAATCGACAAGGCAATCGTAAGATTCCAAGTTTATTGACGAGAGGCTCGCAGGAATTACGTTGAAGGCATTTGGTTCTAACTTGTATAATTCATCTGCAAATTAAAAGTCAGAGTATGCCTACTATGCGCTTCCGAAAAATGTCACATCTCAGGCGGGAACGCATATTTGCAAAATACTCGCAACGAGCTGCATGAAGTCAGACTAAATTTGAAAGAATTCTGAATGTGTAACATAAGGAATTTAATTTAGGGTTCAATTCGTTTAGAAGGATATTCCATTTGAGGTTTTACTGAATTGAGATACCCAGAAATTTTGCCAAAAAATGTAATCACCTTAATGAAAGAACGAAATTCGAAAAGTATGGTGAACTAGTTTAAATTTGAAGGAAAAAAAACACACGATCTTCAATTTCGTACTTTTAGGAAGATGCCAAAAAAATTTTCAAACTTCTGCAAGTTTCGAAAACTTAGACTTCACAGCGAAAATCGGACCCATGCCACCTTTCAGTAAGAATCGAGTGTATTTCACTCTATTCTTACACAAAATTTAAAGAAAAAAAATGAGAGCCATTTTTGAGCAATTTTGAAAATGCCCCAGGGGCTTCATGTAAACACCCTCGAAAATAAATGAATGTTATTCAAAATCGCAGAGATTCAAGTGAGGTCAAATCGACCTGGAAAAATTAATTTCGAAACAAATCTACTCAAAGTTTAGGCGCTTGTGTTGTTCACAAACGGGAGAAGGGCGTTTTAAAGAATAAAAACATATTTACATTATCAGGAAACCCCAAAACGGGTATATCCGTTGAAATCTTGAAAACGATTTTCCACAGAGTTACATAACTTTCTCTTTCGTATATTACTCTGTATATACGTACGTATACGAGAAAGTATAAATAAACATCCATAGATGCATAATATGTGTTATACAATCTATGGAAAAGTTTTTATATTCTTTCTAGGGTTCTTTGTGTATTTTTAATGAAAAAAATACATAAAAGAAAGTGCTAAGGTTTCATATTTAGCAACTGTGAGGGAACCTGATATTGCTTCAACAATTCTCAAAACCATTTATCATCACCCCTTAAAGCAATGACTAAAGATGTTACATGACGGTTAAATATAAAATCTACAGAAGGAAGCATCAACTTCCTCAGGGCCTAGACTGCGTGCCTCTACAATACTTTCATGAAACAGTTAATACAAATGAAATTTTATAAGTGATTGCACTTCATTGCAAATAATAGATTTGATACATTTAAATAATGATTTAAAAGAATTAACCTGATGAATATTACTAAAGCATTTGACAGGGGTATTCATTAATTTCTGAAAAGCAAAAATACTATCATTGTGTGAAATATTAATTGAAAAATTATTGACATTCACAAAGTAAGTACAAAACAGCACTGCCAACAAAAAGAAGTATAAGAATACTGTCCTTTTCCAATGTTATAAATGTAAAGCAAACTTGACAATTAGATGTTGAATGTGTTCAGATATTTGAAAAAAGTAGTTTGTGTTAATCAAACACTGTTCATGAAATTGTTTTTACAAGTCAATGTTTCCAAAACCGTGAATTTTCTACTTGCAATTTCATTATTCTGTTGTTGTAGTTTTTGCTTGTGTTCTCTCTTTGCTTTGGTTCTCTGTTCAGCACCCTAGACAATGAAATCATTTTTTTCTCACTATAAGTAGATAGTAATTTGTTCTCCAAAATGTATGTCAAGTAGTGGACTAGCATGAAGGTAGATAAGAAATCATCTACCCCTAAAACAAAGTACATGGAAATATTAATAGAATTAGCTCATGGGATTTATTGAAATATATCTTTCAATTCTGGGTCAAGTAGAAGGCCGAAATCCACACAAAAGAAATATATGTGAAGAGGCACAGGTCACACAGATCTGTGTCTGACCAAGCTTAATTTTCCTTACAAAATTCCTCTCTGTGCATTGCAAATAGTCCAAGTCAGAAGCTTCAGATCACACATTTTCACTTGCCTGAGAATTCTTCATTTTGCTGTGATTCATCACTGCACTTGAAGTTGTGATACACTTATTTTATATATATATATATATATATATA